TGCCACGCTTCTCACCCTAAAGGGGACTCAGAGCTGCTTACAAGATATATATATACATACAATATATTGTGTTATTAGCATACTACAGTATCAGTATTAAATATTACTATATTGTACTATACCGTTATATTGTAATATTATTAGTAATATTGCATGTAATATAAATATATAATTACAATATCATATTATTAGTAGTAGTATTATATTGCATTACATAATAATATTATAAATTATAATGTAATATATTGTATTACATTACATTACATTACATTACATTAGTAGCATAGCACAGGAGACAAGGTGAAACTTTCCCCTGGCCCCCTCTCTCTAAACTCTGGCCCAGAGTCGCAGTTGGTGTTGGGCGGAGGGGTCCCCAACTGATGACATATGCAGGAGACAAGATGGAACTGTCCCCTGGCCCCCTCTCTCTTCACTCTGGCCAATGTCTCAAATCAAAAAATAGCTTCCTAAGAGAAACTTGCAGAACACTTCAGCAAGCAAGAGTCCAAAAGTGGCAATTTAAAACGCAGAACCTCAATGAGTGGCTGATACCAGATGAGAAACAACCCTCGGAGTTACTTCTGAGGGCAACCAAAGGTCAGGGCAATGCCTTGACAGGCATCCAATCCAAAACGACAAAGCACACCGCTGATCTGGCTTGGTTCAAGGTTCACATGACTAGGAAGGAAGGCAGCCGAGTCAATGAATGGAGGAGATTGCTCTACTGGGAGGGATGCCAACTTCCGTCCACTCAAGAGCGATACTCCTCCTCATCTTGCCACTTCCTTCCTCCCAAAGGTCAGCACACACCCAGACACACCCCAAACAATACAAAAGAGACCTGCAGCCCTTGATAGCAATGATTCCATGTGGTGACATCCAACAGAACGGTGGGATCTGCAGTTTACAGGAGCAGATTTTAGGATCTTCAGGAAGAGAGTTCTAGTGCTTCCTCAAAACATAAATCCTAGGATTTCACAGACAGTTGTTGTGGAACAGTATTGCAATGCATTCCTCAAAAAGGAACTATGGCAGTGGTTCACAACTTGTGGTCCATGGACCACCAATGGTCGATAAGAACTAAAATATGGTCCGTGGACTCACTGTTACTACACTGTTGCAACGAGAGCGACAGGTCTCACGAAACCCTCCTATTAAATAAGGTTTTCTGTGGGCGGGCAGATGGCGACTACTGGGTGGCATATGTGCTGTATCAGAAACTAGAGCTGATGTGGTCTATCCAATGCAATTTTCTGAATCGGCTGATGTGATCTATCCAATGCAGTTTTCTGAATCAGCTGATGTGGTCTATCCAATGAATTTTTTTGAATCAGATATGGTCTATCCAATGCCATTTTCTGAATCGGCTGATGTGATCTATCCAATGCAGTTTTCTGAATCAGCTGATGTGGTCTATCCAGTACAATTTTCTGAATCAGCTGATGTGATCTATCCAATGCAGTTTTCTGAATCAGCAGATGTGATCTATCCAATGCAATTTTCTGAATCAGCTGATGTCATCTATCCATTGCATTTTTTGACTCAGCTGATGAGGTCTATCTATTGCATTTTTTTAATCAGCTGATGAAGTCTATCCAGTGCAATTTTCTGAATCAGCTGACGTAGTCTATCCAAGGCAATTTTCTGAATCAGCACCCGAAATAATCAAACAGAATCTAAAGTTGACCAAAAACTGATTCGTAACTCTTTGATACTAATGTTGGAGAGTGGACCCTGGTCAAAATGGTCCCTGGTGAAAAAAAAGTTGGGAATCACTGAACTAAGGCAACGGCACACTGATTCTCCTACCCACTGGTTCTGCTCACCATCTGGATATCTCTCAATTTCCCTTCTTGCTAGTAACTGAAGAGTTTCAAATACCAGTCATTTCACTGAACATCAGAAAGGCTCCTTCCTACTCTGGAGGCCCCAGAAAGACAAGAGAGGGGGGATCGCAAGAGGGAAACGTGCTGGAATGTTTGTTTGCTGCCTTGAACAGAATTCCAAATTATTTGTTCACCTGTTCCTTTGGCAGGACTCAAAGCACAGGCAGAGATGCCTCCCGAGGTAGTGTTGTTTGCAAACACCCGCAAAAGCAAACACAGAAGCCCTTGAACAGACAAAAACTCCAAACCAAACCCACACACATTCCTACACAACACAGGATTAATGAGGGATCCATCTGGGGGAAGGAGACCCTACAACCACCTTGAGCAGATTGCCAATGTTTCACCGAACCCAGCATCCCACCAGAGCTTGCAAAGATTCCTTTGTGGGATGATACCTACACAATTCCCAGGCCAGAAACGGTAGTCTTGGAGTGTAATCATTTCACAAAAGCTGGTTTGTACAATTGGGAAGAGTATAGGATTTGAATCCCTGCTCAGGCATGAAAACACACTTGGGTAACTTTGCACTCTTTCTTTCTCAGAGGAAGGCAAATAGCAAAACACCAAGGACCCATTGGAATTTATAATTTACATAACATTCGAAAATGTTGACCATTTCCGCTCCCTTGGCAGCCACCTCTCCACAAAAGTCAACATTGACACTGAAATACAACACTGCCTGAGCTCTGCGAGTGCAGCATTTTCCCGAATGAAGCAGAGAGTGTTTGAGGACCAGGACATCCGTAGGGAGACCAAGGGGCTTGTTTATAAACTTATTCCCCTCCCAACCCTGCTATATGCCTGTGAGACGTAGACTGTCTACAGATGTCACATGCAACTCCTGGAACAATTCCATCAGCGCTGCCTCCGGAAAATCCTGCAAATCTTTTGGGAAGACAGGCAAGGAAATGTCACCGTGCTGGAAGAAGCAAAGACCACCAGCATTGAAACGATGGTCCTCCGTCATCAACTCCGCTGGACCAGCCATGTTGTCCAGATGCCCGACCACCGTCTCCCAAAGCAGTTACTCTACTCCGAACACAAGAATGTTGGTGGGCAAGAAAAGAGACCCCTGCCCATCCTGGCTTCTAAAGGAGGCCAGAGGGGGATTGGCCGAGTGGGTAAAGGTGGTGGTTAATGCCTCCCTTCGGGAAGGCATAATTCCAGCCAGCTTAAAGCAAGCTGTGATAAAACCGCTGTTGAAAAAACCATCACTGGACCCACTCAATTCGTCAACTATCGGCCTGTTTCCAATCTTCCCTTTTTGAGCAAAGTCCTGGAACTTGTGGTGGCCTCACAACTCCAGGTATTCTTGGTAGACACTGATTATCTAGATCCGGCACAGTCTGGCTTTAGGCCGGGGCATGGTACCGAGACAGCCTTGGTCGCCTTAGTGGATGATCTCCGGCGTGAGCTTGACAGGGGGAGTGTGTCCCTGTTGGTTCTGCTGGACCTCTCAGCGGCCTTCGATACCGTCGACCACGG